CCCTTCAGATACTTCCAAGAATTAGAATTACTGAGTAAACCATTTACTTTTCAATTAACTGTTTAAGGCTCTTGATTTACGGTACAAAACTGCTCTCCAGAATATGAACCCACCCATCAGAATGGTGGCTGCTCATATCCTACGTGCCACTGACCCACCACCAAAGAAAACACCACCACCACCTTCCACCCTGCACAAACACTCTGCCTTTGTGTTTGCATGAGAAGAACAGCCGCGCAGAAACATTTGAGTAGGAATTTTGTGGCTTCCCCACCTTGTGAGGAAAAGGGCTGRGACAATTGGCTCAAGGGTTTGGGGGTGGAGTTAGCTCCTGGTGAGGTATGGTTCCAGAGTCACTCTGACAGCCCTTTTGCACACGCCACCCGACTCTCCCGGTAGATAATCACGTCTTCTGAGAATAGAGGCAGTTGTGCCTCTTCTTTTCCACTCTGGCTTCCAGTGATTGATTTCCCTCCCCAACGTGGGTTGCATTTCCCCATGTCTTTGTATCCCAGGTAGCTTTCTTTCTCTCTTTGTGGTCCTGGGGATGGAACCAGGGTGTGCACATGGTAGGCCAGCACCCTGCCACTGAGCCACACCCCCAGCCCTTTGCGCCTTACTGTGGTTGAGTCGTCTTTGGCCAGCTCTGGTTGACTGAGGTACCACTTATGTATGTACTATAAAATTTACCCATTTCCCCCACACTGTCCTGTGAATTTTAGCAGGTGCTGACAGTTACCACTGTTAGGTGCAGGGCAGGCTGAACTAAGTTGTCTGCAGGGCAGGTTGAACAAACATTAGCTGCAGGATAGCCCGGGCACTCAAACCCCACTCTGTCTGGTCTGGTCCTTTATCACCTGTTTGCGTCAAGTCTGAACACTCAACCCCACTCAAGGCTGAACACTCAACCCCACCCGTCTGGTGCAGTGGAAACCCACATCTGACCCCTGCCCCGTCTGCCTGAAGGCAGAAGATGACACTACTGTACGATCCAATCACTGTACGCCAACAAGGCAGCTTGCAGACCCAAAGACCCCATTAGATTTTGGCTATAAAAACTCCCTCCTGCCAGGCCCCCCTCTCTTGCTCTCTTTCTTCTCTTGCACCTCTCTCTCTCTCTCTCTCTCTCTCTCTCTCTCTCTCCTTTTTACTCTTTTGCACTGCTGCAATAAAGATCTCTTGGTCGCTCCGAGTGTCGTGGTCACTTTCAACCACCACCACAATGTGGTTGGCGCTATGGACGGACTACCTGCGTCACTCTGTGGCTTGTATTCCTAAGTCAGGACCCAATGCTCCTCTGTTCCAAACCCTCCAGTGGGCTTCCCTCTCACACTCTTGTAGCCCACTGGTAGAACACTTGCCCAGCATGCACGAGGCCCCGGGCTTGACGCCTAGCACCTGCATCAAAGGAGGGAAAACAGCACAGGTCCAATATGATCTGGCCTGTGTCTTCTCTGGCCTCCTCCACTCCCACTCCCTTTCTGGCTCGCTCCCATCCAGCCACCTGGGCCTCTCACCCTCCACAAAGCACACCAGACAGACCCACGCCTGCCTGGGGGCCTTTGCCCGTTTGTAGCTGGCTTCCCCAGCATTCTACCTGGCTCACCAAAATGTCATCCTCAGTGAGGCTTTCCTGGCCGCCCCATTTAACACTGCATCCTTCTCCTTCTCCCCACCTGCATCACTCTTAACAGGTGTGGGGGCTAAGACATGTAGGTAGGTGCACCTGGATGGGAGCCACAGCTCCAACAGTAAGGAGCTGCCAGGCCTTAAGGAGTCTGGGTGCGGCTGAATCCACTGGAGGGTTTTAAACACGGTGGGAACTTGCCTTACATCTTAACAGCATCCCTCTGCCTCCCACACTAAGGATGAGCCGAAGGGGGGCCGGGATGGAAGCAGGGAGGCTGGCATCTGGGCACCTTCCATCTGGGTGGGGACCGTGGAGGYGAGGAAAAAAGAGCAGACTCTGAAGGTATCCTGATGCTGGAACCACGGAAGTTAGCCAATGGATGGGCTGTGGCCTTGGACCCCCTCGAATCCTCAGAAACTCTGTGAAGAGTTGCCCTTTCCTCCCATCACGGGAGTCCAGCTCACCCAGACCCCAATGGGTCTACCCACCCCGCCCAAAGACAAACCCGCACGCTGACCCCATTTCCCCAACATTTAATTAGGAAAGATCACGACTTGAACAAAGAAACTCATGCAACACCAGAGGAGAGATTTGGGGCTCTGGGACCCGAGATGGGACCAGATTCTTCAGAGGAGGCAGAAGACACCAAGTAAGGCACTGCTGCCTCGGCCCCTCGGGCGAGTGAGCGCACCAGGGGGTTGTGAGCAGGGGCAGCTGAGGCTGAGGGGCTCCAGGGCAAGTGCAGACAACACCGAGGAAGTCTGGCAGTGGCGCGGGAAGGAGGAGCGTTGTGGAGTCCCCAGGCCCAGCTCAGGCCCCGGCACAAGCGTTCTCCAGGTGCTCAGGCGGGACTGGGTCCTTTGAGAACGTAGTCTGATTCTACAGATGATTGGAGGGGGACACTGCAGCGTGGCTTGGCATAGGGCAGGTCCAAAATGGCTATAGTTATGCTCCCTTGCTGAGGTTTCTCGTGGGTTATGATTTTAGTGTGTAGCCAAGGTCATGAATACCCTAATTCAGCATATGAACTCAAGGTCATAAACACTTGCCTATGAGTATGCACCCACAGCTGAAACTAAAGTCAGACAAAGTAGCTTGGTTTTATTTCTTTCATAACCAGCATTTAAGCATCCACTACTTTAGCAACAGGGAAACAGACAGATAAAGAGATATCAAGAGACAAAAAAAATTCAGACTTTGATCATAAAGTGGCCGTTACCCAAAATATCATTTCCCTGTGTCTTGCCAAGTGCAGGAGAAAAGATTAGGACTAAGGCTTCTTTCCTTTTCCTCGTTTTAGCAGAGCTGGGACCCCAATGCGCCGAATATTTCTCATCACCAAAGAAAGCTGGTCCAGGAAGGTGTTAACAGAAGTTCGGAAGAGAACAGGGTCTTCAGTTGTCCATCTACTGTAAGTGAGGGGAAAAAAACCCAAAAACATCAGATTATAGCTGAGAACTCTATGTAGGTCCAGGGTTCCATGCATTCTGCTTCCACTTAATCAGCCAAAATCTCCATTACAACAAGCTATAGTGGAGACAACCTCCCAGCACCTGCTGCCTCCACCCATTCCAGATCCTTCCAGAACTGACACAGCCAGATCACTGCCATTCACTGTGAACTCCTTGTGAATGATCTCCTGTTGGCGCGCATCTGGGACCAGGGACCTCCAAGCCATCTCTGCCTCCAGTGGTGATCGGAAAGGCACAGTTAAAGAGCTGTAGGAGATTCATTAAGGCACCATCCACTAATGAGTTTGTTTGGGTCTCGGGGCTCTTCACTACTAATAGGCCGTCCATCACCCTATGCCTTGGAAGGCAACATCCTTCCAACCCAGGACTACCACCAGTGCTTTGGGCCTTCTTCCACACCCTGCAGCCTTTTCAGACATAGATTACTGTCTGCCATGATGCCCACTGCCATTGCCCCCTGTATATAACCACTGTATCCATTCCCCACACTCACCAACCTCCTTGTGCTGTGTCCATAAAATCCTTTATGGGCTTATCCTCCCCCATCCTCATTTCTGCTGCCCCTGCCCAGGGTACTCCTTGGAAAGGATACAACTCAAGGAGTCGGCTTCCAGATACTACACCCGAGGTTGCTGCATCTCCACTGGGTCCTGGGGTACGCAGGGCCTGCTCACTTTGGGAAGCAGCGACTGCTTCCTCACCAACGTCTACTTCAGCCACCACTCCTTCTCTAACCACACTACCTTCGTCCGGGTTGCTTGGAGTACTCTGGACTTCAAGACCACTAGGGCCACTCGGATGACTAAAGTCGCTATGGCTACCCTCCTCTATGGAACCACCTGAGATACCCTGAAAACCAGGAGCTGGAGATCCATACTGGCCGCCCTGGCCATCTTCATGCCCCACTGCACCACCAGTACCTCCTGCACTGCCACCTGGGGCCTCCATGGCTACAGCAGCTTCGCCCTCACCAACCTCAAACACCACCAACCGCCCCCCTCGCGCTGCGTCCAAGTAA